CCAAATATAACTTTATTCCTGTCATCATCTAGGTCATTCATAAGGTAATCTTACCTCTTGCATTTAGGCAAAGGTTGGTAAAAGGATTCTTTTCAGTAAGAATTATATCCAAACCTACTTCCTTTATTTCATTGGGTTTCTCAAGTTCATTGTTTGGGTTTTTTCCTCTTGTTTAGCGCTGTGTTTTGTTTATACTGTTGCACCTTGAAGTACTTGAGACTTGGTTTTGATGCTCGAGAACAGAGTTCCAATTTGGAGTTTGTTTATTATTCAGATCATGATGTGCTGATGGTCAGTGTTTATTTACAGGCCAAGCTAAGAGGAAGAGCCATGAGCTCTCTCTCACTTGGAAATTTGCCCAAGGCAGCAATCATTCTTCAATTTATGCTGCTAGAATAGTTTCATCTGTACAGGTTTGCCAAACACATGGTCAAGATAAAATTACTTATTTTTCCTTGAGGCTTTCCTGGTGGGAGTGAAACTTGTTTGTTACAAGAAAAGCCCTGGTCAGAGTCTTTCCTTCTCTTGCTGTCCGTTTGGCTTAGTTTCTTTTCTTTAAAGAAAATCTGGAAATTTAACAGTTTGTCTAGTTGTTTTCCCACAATGGTCTCCTACAAAAGCAAATGCAAACCACCATAACCAGTTAATGTTTCAGTTCCTGGGTTTCCAAGGGAATATGTAAGCAAGAAAAATAGAATCACTGTATGGATTACAGGATTTTTTTCAATAGCGTTGCCATGTAAGGCAGTAGAGTCTATGCACTTAGAACAAGCTTGCTATTGATATTATATTTGGAAAACAACAAAGCAAACAACTGAGAACTTCATTCTCAGTATTTTTATTCTGATTTTTTTCTCCTGTTTTCCCATTTAACTGCGTAGTGATCAGAAAGCTGACTGCAGTCTGCATCATATGGATGTATCTTGAAGCAATTGGAGGAATGACACTTAGTGCTTAAAATTATTAACTGTGCTAAGCTGTTTCTTCTAAGAAGAGTTGAAATCTACTGAGAAACTGTTTCAGTTTGGTGTCCAAGTACACGAGTAATTACTTTGAATGGTATGTTGACCAAAACACCATGCAATTACAGATACTTCTGAAATCCATTATGGCTATTTCTGATACTTCTAAGCCTCAATAGTGCCACAAACATTTCTACATATCAACATGACTGCTGTTGATGTTTGTACTCACATAGTGTATAAAGGTTCCACCTAAAGTGAGGGCTCGTTGTACAAGGTGCTGGGTGTCAGGCTTCTGGCACAGGAGAACTATGTTTGTCTTTCTCAAATACATGTTTTTGTTTTTCCAAGATAAAGGGAGAAGGACAATGATACTCCTTTACATCTGTTGCTAGAGTGGAGTTGTACAAAAGGTATCATTACATGATGGGTAATCATGTCACAAGAAGGAGTGGCTGTAGACTGTGAATTTACATAGTTTTGGAATGAGAGGTTTCTAGTTATCAAAGCAATTTTGCCATTTTAGAATGAACCTTCATTAGTTTTAAAAAGGGCTTGTATAATGGGTTTTATCAAAACACTGGGAGGACTAAAGAGACAAGGAGTTTTGTTCCAGCTCTATGATCTCTGCCTTCTGGAGAACTGGAAATAACTGTCACCTACTTGTCACTCAAATTTACATGCACCACTGTGAAACTGTAATGTGAAAAAGGGACACCTGAAGCAGAAATTTCAGCTTCTTAGAGGAGTTTTTTTGCCTTGGATTTGATGGTAAGGATCATTGGGGTGAGTAGGTACAACATCTGCTTTACCTTGTATTTACTGCGTAATAGTGGGAAATTAAAAAATTTCTGATTTTACAATTTTTTACCAAAAATCTGACAAATCAGCTTACTTTTTTTTTTTAACCAGTTCAGCACCAAAAGCTTAGTGCATATAATAACACAAATCCAGAAGTAAAGATATAAACAATCCTGTTCATGTAGAGAGAAATAATGCTGGTCTGGCCTGGTAATACCTTGTTCCAAGAAATGTGTTTCCATCTGCTTTTGTTTGGACTGTGCAGCATAAACTTGCTTTAACTGTAGCTCACTTGGAGTTTTAAAGGATCCATTTGTTTTTAATCCTAGTAGGCTTCAAAATTCATTTCTCTATGACTAGCCAGAGATATTTGAGAAGTCTGAAGACCAGGAAGGAACACTCTGAAATTCACTTGCAGAATACTCACTGCAGTGTTTAAATAGTGGTGCTGACTGGTTTGTTACAGAGAGGATTTAGGGTTCCCCACAATTTAGATGGTTCTCCTGGCGAGGTTGACCTCTGTAGCAGTTCTGCAGGTTGCAGCATCGTTCTGTCGACTGAATGCACAGTGACACTGGTATCGTGCTGGCTGAGGCTTGTTGGTTCACCTGGCATTGGCTTAGGTCTTTCTCGAAGGAGGGTTTTGGAGAGTGAGTGAGAGGTGAAAAGTAATTTGTGGATGAAGAATTTTTTTCCACATAGTCTGCACAGGCGTTATATATGATTATATATACATGCTATATGATCATATATATACATGATTTATAATTATGTACAGGCATTTAGGTCAAGGGGTGGGATTGAGGTTTTTTTGTGAATGTTGAAAGAATGTAAAATTCTCTTTTTTTTTTAACCTAACATATGCATCCTCAGAATGCTCTATTTTGAATATCTTTGAAGTTATGAGCTACTCAGACTGCCTTTCCTCTCTTTCTGGCTGCTTGTATAAAGGGTGTGATAACCCTGATAAGTCAACACAATCTCTTTTTTTTACCAAGCTGGGAAGTCTCTATAAAATTCCAGTCATGGGGAAGTTGTATAACACACAGTGCACAGTATTCTGTTGCTTTTCTGGGCTTATAGTGCTCACTATCCATTTTAAAGTGCTGGTTTTGCTGTCTGGTACCAAGTGGATTTTAAGAATTATGTTTATCACAGAGCAGTGGGGTACTAGAGGAAATCCATCTTTAAATAATGGTATAATTCTCCCATATATCTGTACTGTTGAAACAGACCATTTTCTTGCCTCCCTTTGTATCTTTCTTCCCCTTGAAATTAAAAAGAAAAAAAAACTCTAAAAATGAGCTCTACTGCAGTCTCTGTGCATCAAGGGCAGACTAAACTATGGCTTTTTTTTTCATTTCCTGCCACTTCATGCTTCTGTCAAGACTTTTCCAGGAGAAAGGGCAGGTCAGTATCCAGTTGTCTGGGAAAAGAAAACTTATTTACAGATATTTAAACAAGCCCAAAACAAACAGCTTAATTGGTCACATGAGAAAAACAAGATGCCAAGGTCATCCTCTCCTTCCCTCATATGGCATCTAAATGACCCTAAACATGTGAGTTTGTTTTTTTTTCTCTCTTAGCTTGCTTCTGTGTTTAGCTTTGTAGTTTCTATTAACAGCATCCAAAATAGATGTTCAAGGCAGGCAGGTGTACATGCCCACACTGCATGGAGACAGGTGTCCTGCCATGGAGTGGAGGAGAAGCACTGCTGTTCCTCCTGCAGTAGGGAATTGGTTGTGTAACAAGGAAAAATATGCAGGGTGACTGGTCAGGGGGCCATAGGCTCTGGAAAGTCTGTGGCAAGGGGAGCAGTCTTAAGGCAGATTGCAGTTAACCATCAGGATTATCTGTAGGAATGCTTTATTGTGTTTGCAGGAAATTGTACATTTTGCATTCTATTCTGCTCAAAAATATTAATCTTCAGACACTGAACAAAACTTCTCTCTGGTTGTCAGGCAGGTTTGTGACTTCCAAACTTTTGAAGTTTTCAGCTCTTCCTTGATTGCTGATTTTCCTTCAGCTGACAAAGGACTTTGTGGCCCTGAGGAGAATAATAATATTGGAAGCTATTTGATAATCTGTCTCCTTCACAAATACTTAAAGGTGGAATGCATTTAAATATGTTTGCTTTTTAGGTGCAAATTTTGTTAATATAGGGTAAAGAGAAGTCTCAGTGAAGTATCTGTTCTTGTACACTAACATGAAGTTTCACCCTGAAAAACCCTTTAGTTAGGTGAGACAGGAGGCCAAGAAACACTGCTTAAAGCTCTTTCAAATAATCAGGCCTGAGTTTCAGTATTTTCAAGTACTTCAATACCATGGCAACAAGAGCTTCAATGCTTGAGATAATTGGGGACAGAATTAGCATATTTCCCTAGGAAGACTTCTGAGAGTTTTGAAGTGGTTTGCAAACTGAGGTGGTCATGGGTGCTTGTCAGAGAGAATTTCTCTGCTTGGACCTGACCCTCCCAGTTACTAGCTAACAACCAGACCACTTTCCAGTGCTCCGTTTCATCTAGCAGAATCACAGACCTGTGTGGGGTACATACCCTTGGAGGGCCTACTAAATTCAGTTTCCACATCTGTGAAAACATTTGCTGAGCTACAACAAAATCATGCTTAACTCTGGACAACGTTGAAGATGGTTTTTAAAAATAAAATGTGAAGTTCCAGTCAAGCAGCAGAGTGGAAAGTGCAGCTAGATAAGAAGGCAGCTCTCTATACCCAGACCATGATAAGAGTCATTGGCCACTCATCCTCATTCCATAATCAGCTGCATAAATATTATTGAAAATGAAATATGCAATTTATTGCTTGCTCTGGAGAGGGATTAGACATTGTAAGCAGCAAGGTGGGTAAAGACATGTTGGCAGCTTGGAGTGGGGATTAAGTTATATCATAATCAAAATTTGCTAAACCTGGGAGAATCTCCTCATCTGCTCTTGCTGGGATTATGAGAGACATGGCTCCTTGAGTAAGGACTAAAATATTGGGTTTGGTGATGGATTGTTTTAACATTAAGATGTTTCAAGACCCTCAGTTGCTTTATATGAAGGAGTTGCTCAAGTGTAAACAGGTGACATTCCTGTCTCAAAGGTGATAGTGCTTTGATAGTACTGTGACTGTGGTACATAAATTGCTTTAACATTCTATATTATAAAAAATGGTGGCACTGATTTCTCCCATTTAATTTTCTAAAAGACGTAATCTACTTCTTTCATGTCTTAACAGCAGTTGGAAAAAAAAGTGCAAAGGAGTTGTTTCCCTCTATTGGCTCATCTTCATTGTACCTTTCCCATTCTGCTTCCTCCTCCTGATGATCCCCAAGTGAAGATGAGTGACCTGCTGTGAATATGACATCTCTGACAAGTGTCATTGCCTCCCACCAGTCCGAGTGGGTGTCCTTCACTGACGAGCTGCTCTTCCCTGTTCACCCACGAGGTAAGCTCTGATTTTCTTTGATGCTGGTGAGACTTCCTTTGTTTGATTTAGACCAACTACAACAATTTAGACCATATATCTGTCATGGGAGAGCTTGCCTTCTATGTGGAAGCAGTTTGTGCAGAGATTGAATTATCTCCTGCTACCCCTAGGTAAAAGGAGAATTTGGGCCAAGAATCTCTCCTCATGTGATATAATGAAGATCTACTACAGGTTTTGGATCTGTCCTTCAAAATTCAAGACAGTATCTATCCAGCCATGGAGGAAATATCACCTATGATAACCAAGTGCAAGACTGCCCAGTGTTAATCCAAAAACTGCATTAGGTGAAGGAAACTTTCCTTCATTTAATGGCAAATTTTAGATGTTTCAATAAAAAACAATGAAATAATGGTCAATCTTGTAAATCTTTCTATGTTGTCTCTATTTTAGGAAGCACTGAGGCTCCTCCGGTGAAATGTTTAAATTCCTCAGACACATCATCAGAGGAGAATCACAATGCAAATGGAGAATTTCAAGACCTTTTCTGCACAGAGCTGGAAGAGGCAGCTGAGCAGCCCAAGCTGGATTCTGCTGTGCTTGGTAGCCATGATCTCTCATCATCCATCAGTTCTTGGGTTCAATTTGAAGATGCACCATGGACCAGTGCTTCATCAACCCACCCACAAACAGGTGAGGCAGAAGCAGTGAAAAAGTCTCTTCCAGTAAGATAACAAAGTACAGTGAGAGCATACAGGATTTTTGCCTTGCTCTTTGGCTTCTCAAAGGTTTAACTTTGAGTAGTTTGTACTGTACTTTAACACAATTAATGTTATCAGAGTTTCAAAAAAGGCTCACACTATCCTGGATTGAACAAGAAAGATTTTCTTTTTGTAAAGAAAATGAAAGCCTTTTGTGATTCACTCCACCTGTGTCTTGACTAAGTCTTGGAGATTGCCAAAATGAATTCAAGGGGAAAGATCATAGAGGTGTTTTCAGTAGTGACATTTCTTACACAGAGGTATGAACAGCCATTGAAAAAGTCTGAGCCATATTTGTCTCTGTAATCTGGAACTGAAAGAATAGTGATCATGTCTGTGATCATAGCCTTTACCTGATGATAGTTCCTGTATGTATCCTGTATGTTTTTTGCCAGCAGTTCATTGATACCAATAACTAGTGTGCCAGTGCTCATCAGTACTTTCTGCTGTCTTTTGATGCTGTGATTTAGCAGCTGGAGAATTACAAAGACAGCAGAAGTTTACCTTAATTCCAGCACTGCATGCACTTTTCCTCAATTGTAGCAGTTCTTTCTGACATACTGTAAACATGCATGCGAATCCTCTGGCTTGCCTCATGAGCTTATGGTAACTGATGTGGCTATATGAGCTTCTAGTTTTTCTGCATGAACAGACTTCTGTCCTTCCTTGCAGGAGGTTGTGGAATAATTGCCCAAGAAAACAATAGTTTTAGTTTCTTGTTTCTTTCTATGTTTGACTTGAGATTCTCTCTTATTAGTTCCACTTTATGACTGCTGTTTATTAAAGCAGTTTAAAGAGTTATAGCTTTCCTCTTCTCACTGAGTCCATCATATATTCCCTGTAGCATGAATAATACTTCTGTCAGAAAACTTGGATTGTCAGCTTTGGATTGGGTTTTGGGTAAACCCCATCTGGATTTCCATCTGCTCTTTTGATGGGTGCTACAGACTAGTTCTTTTGAGACCATGTGGCTAGACCTTTGTGCAGAAGTAGGGCAGTCTTCAGGCTAAAAGATTTCTCTGACCTTCCTTACTTCTTAGTTGTAAATACTTATTTATCCTTGTGATGTGGAGAGAAGGAGGAGCACCCATGAAGTGTAAATATGTAAAACTGAGGTGCTCTACCTCACTCTCTAGTTTCATGGCTATGTGATCCTTATGCTTACTCCTACAGCAACACACTTCTTCAAACGGGGCTGCTGGTTGCTCTGACTTGGTATCTCCTTCCCAATGTTACATCCTTGTCAAATGAAAAACTTGTAAATGCGCCTTCTTAAATGAAAAATAAAAATCTTTCTGATCAACCTTAATAAAGCTAATCATAAGAAAAATACTTCCATGAAACAAATTTTATGGTATATTACCTGATGTCCTACCATTAGAGGGATGTGGCCCAGACTTAAGGTATGTGCTTAGCCAAAGCACTGCCTGTGGGTGTGTGTTTTCAGTCACGGGGGACACTAGCCTGTAGGCAGAGGTCTAAGATATCCAGATGAGGAGAGTAGAGTGAGCTTTCTGAAAGCATTGTGGTTTTGAAGAAGACTCTCATTTGTGCCCCTGTAGAGGCTTGTCCTGTGTGATCCGTGTCACTGAGGGAGGATATTTACACACTAACCTTAGGATCTGACTGAGATTCATGGAGGAGAGTGGTTCCCCTAACAGACCAGGATGTACTCCATGTAATTCTTACATGGGAAGTTATTATTCTATGAACTATAAAGGAACTCTAAGGAGGTGTGTCCTAAGGATATTTTAAAGTCCTTACTTATGAGCTGGTCCCACTCCTTTTCTGGACCCTGAATGATAAAAGGCCAGACCAGTGCAGCTGACAGCCTCTAAATGGAGGCAGAAATGACAGCTCTGTTTCTGGCCCTTTACTTTGAGGGACATCTGACAGCATGAGGCAGGATAAACTTCAGCCTAGTTGTTCTCCATTATTGTGCAGATCACGATTTTTTTTTCTATGGGCGGCAGCAAAGCTAGAGACGTTGTGCACACTGACACCCTCAGTGGAAAGCCCGTGGTGACAGCAATTATTCATTTCCAGTAGCAAACATTCTGCATAAGAACAATAGCAAATACCCAGACTGGGGGGAGGGAAGAGCATAAAGGCCAAGTACAAACAGAAGGATTGGTGTGAGAAGGATGGACACATTTGAAATCTGTTTCCTGCGCAGGCAGCTGTGAAGAGCAACGTCCTGGAGGCTCAGCACCCCCGGTCGCGTTCCTGTCAGGGCTGCAGTGCTGTTAGGAAATCGCTTGTCTCTCTGTCTGTGCTCAAGCAGCTGCTCAGCTGACTAGATAATTACCCAGGCTGATGGCCAGGCTGCCTGGAAACACATTTTGAAAAGGGCTTGCAAAGTGGGATTTCCAGAGTGCCATGAGAGCAAAGAGGATGGGTCCTAGGGGAGAGAGAGATGCTGTCTTGCTGTGACATTAGGGCTACAGTATTTTGGCACAGGTTCCCCCAAAAGCAAATATTTGTCCCAGAGTGCTCAGTGCTCATTTTTTTGCTAAAAAAAAAAAAAAAAATAGCAATTTAAAGACAGCTAGAATGTAGTGGTTATCCTATAGGAAGGACATTTTAAAGAAAACCAAGGGTAATGCTGGACCCTTGCTCTGGGAAAAGTGAAGACATTTTTGGGGGAGCAGAGGCCGGGGGATTGATGACAAGAAACAGGGCTGAACAAGCAGGCAAAGAATTTGGCAGATAAAAAGAAAGGTCAAAATCTGAGGTACAGAAGTGAAAAGCACCCGTAGTAAGCCTTCCAGTGAAAACTACCTTTATTTAGGATGTTCTTGTAAACCCTTCCTTCCACCAGGTTCAGGCAGAGTAAATGCTAAGAAAAACGTTTTTTTCAAAATATTTGTGCATCTGGGGTTTATGTATAGTTAACTGACAGCTGCCAAATCATGTGGATTTCTCCTCAAGAAGCAAAAGCTCTTGCATGAGGCCATAGACATACTTTGTCACAGAAACGATGTATTGTGGTGTCCCCTTCTCTATTTTCCTTTTGCTGGAAAAAGAAGAAATTTGATTTTTGTTACAATTATTATCAGCCTAGTCAAACTGTTACTGCCAAAGTGAAAAATTAGATTTTTTGGCTGACCCAAATGTTCCTATCACAAATGCTACATAATCTGTAAATTATCACAGCCAGCAGGTGACAAAACATTTGCAGTTGTTACACAATGGGCCTCCAGCTCACTGTCTTAAATTCTATCAGTGTTAGCTGCACCCTTCATTTCAATGAGGTGTTCTTAGTCACCATAATTAGACTAAGGCAAGATCTATTACATCATCCATCCTACTCAGCGCACTTCTTCCCAAGACCTTTGTCTGGTTTAAAATGGCTCAAATTACTTGGACTCTTACCATGTCCCTTGAGAGGCTATCCAACAGCATATCTGAGGTTAACTACTTTGTTCTGTTCTCTCTGAAAGTAGACAATATTTGCAACACAAGATCAGCAGCTGGAAACTACACCTGTCACCAGAAACTGTGATGCTATGCTAAAATCAGAAAAATCTGAAGTCCTATGTAATAAGAAAGGAAATGATGCTAACATGGTTTATTGTAATACAGTGTAGGGATCAAGTAACAGGTCCTCAAAACACCAAAGAGGAATGAACGTTTCAAGGTAAATCTGCATACTAAAAACCAATCCATTGTTTTAAGAGTAAACATGTCAAGAAAAGTAAAATGCATGTCTCATTTTCGGAAACAATGAGTTGATTTTCAGTATACAAGGCATGCTACAGAATTTGCATTTTAGGGATAGTTCTGGCATTGTCTTTCAAGATAAACAGATTTCCGAGAAACTCCTGCAGCAGAAAGGCTGGGGCTCTCTGGCTATTTGCATTAGAGACTTAATTCAACTCAAAAGAGCCCTGCCTCATTTAGGAGTTTGGCTGCAGCACTTCTAGGAATCTGAAGAGCAGCAGCAGAAGCATCTGAAGAGAGATCTTAAATATATGTAGATGTTTACTTTTACTTGTCTTGCTTTTTGAGATTGCTAGATGGTCTTTTGACTAAGCTTAGGGGAAAATGCATTTTTGTTAGTTTTAATAGTGTTGGGGGGCCTAGAACAGTCACAGGTAGAAGTTGACTGTAGTAAGAATTTAAAGAATATCCATTGCAGAAAAAGCTGCCTGTGGTTTTGGTTTTCTAAAGTACAAGACTCTTTTAGGAAAAAAGCAAAACAATACTGTTCTTTCAAAATGACACAAGTTACCTGAATAAAATTAATTTTCTCTTACATAGAAATATTTGGCACACTAGTCCAGTCAGTTGCCTTCTTAGATAAAAATTTGGTTTGGAAAGCAAAAAACTAGTTGGCAATATTTGAGTTATTATATCTTGCATGTTTCTAAATTAGCCTGTTTTTTCATATTGCTGTGACTGACTTTAAAAAATACTGGAAATCTAAGATTTTTTACAAAATAATTCCACAGTTTTTAGGATATAAAGCACACTTAAAAAAAACCAAAATGACTTGGCTTTGGCTCCCGTTAGTGATCCTCATACAGAGCTCAGCTTTTCAATTTGTCCTCTATGCCAAATAAAGTGCTCTGTCTGTCAAAGCAATTTCAGCTGAAGTTTTAAGGATGGCTTTTCAGGTGCCTCATGCTGTGTTTAACAAAAGGACTGAGAGAGGGACTGACAGATTATAATCATACATTCATCATCCTCATTTCTCTACAGGCATTGAGCACAGCACAGCATGCGGTTACTGGAGGGAGGAGGGCTGGGCTTTGGTTGTGTGTCTGACACAACAGCTGTCAACATGTGCAATAAGGAGACAGATCTTTCAGCTCCTCATCCTCAGGGATGCCTCTGCTCAGAGCCCACTTAGTGTCAGTAGGCGCACAGCTGTACACATATAAAAATACCACTGCCTGCTTACCTGAGGCTATCAATGCAGATATACAAAATAAATTCACACCTCTCAAGAGGCAAGACAGAGAACACTGTTTGGATATTCTGTCTATGCACACAACAAGTTTTCCATAATGAGGAAGTGCCCTGTCACATCACTTGGATGGAGAGAGATGAATCTTCTTTAACATTGTCTTTTTTTCCAAAGTATCTGTCAACCTAGGAAGGGTTGTTTGTTTATTACATACTGAGAAGAGAATCTCTGTGTCAGTAGTTGTTCTGTAACTGCAAGATTTGGGGAGCATCAAGGTCTTTGTTGGTTTAACAGCTAAATATAGATGTACTAATTTAGAAGACCACTATTAAGCTGATATTAAATTAGAAATAGTCTCTACCCGTAAACTTTTCCTTAGTTCAGGAAGACGTTCTAACCATAACTTTTTTTTTTATTAGTATTATTTCCTCAGTAGAGTCACCCATTGTTCCTATCATTCAAGCGATGCTGTGGGCAAAGACTATGTGATACAAAGAGTACACAATACAAGCTCATAGCAGTGGATGTGTGTGATTGTGTTATAAACTCTGGGTGGTGGTTAGGCAGAACTGAGCTGCTTGACTTACAAGTCTGGCAAATGAGTAGAACAGGATTTTTGGTCTACACTGAGCAGAAGTGTTATGTAGTGTATTCAGACTGGGCCTCTACATTGCACATGTTCAGAAACAACAGCCATTCCTAGTGCACATCAATAGGTCAATTGCAGGTTATTTTTACACTCGTCCTCCATGCAGAGCGTTCCTGAGATGATGACTGCATTTGAGTGGGTGTCACAGATAGGGAATGCTTAATTAAATATAATAAAATGACTTAAAAAAAAATAATCTGTGGTGCTGTAAAAAGTCCACTGTGTTGCACAACAAACATATTCAGGTCCTGTCAGCAGTGTCAGAAACATAAAATCTTGTTCTGAAAAGTCTCAGTTTCTCCAATACTTGAGCAACAGGAAAGCATATGGCTGCCTCCAGTGCAGAATGTAAGGCAGCTGAGTAGTGCTGGAGGGTGACAGTGCCAGGCACTAGCTAAGTTGCTCTGCATTTGTTATAAAATGACTGAGTTGCTGTGGATGTTGGAATTTGTATTTACACAGCCCCAGTACACTGATCTAGCATGTCTTTGGAAGAGTTGTGAATGTGATATTTGGATAGATTGCCCTGCATGTCTCTAACCAATATGTGCTTTCTGCAACCAGTGTCTGCATCAAAAGCACCCAGCTGGACTTCCCCCTCTTCCAACTCTTCTGAGAGGCAAGCCCGTGCCTCAGAGAGCAGCTGGACAACCAACTCAGAGGACACCAGCAGCCCAAGCATTGCTCCCTCCTACACAGACCTGCAGTCACTCAATACCGAGGATTTGACCAGTGGTAGAACATCTGCAGCAGATTCAGCTGGTAAGAGGGAAGCCTTCAATCTTTTTGATGCTACTCAAACTCACTGTTCAGAACTGAGCCACAGGGAATGGATCCAAAGCAGAGCAAACTCAAGGATTAGGCAGACTAACCTTTTGTTCTACTCTAATTCCAAAAAAATCACACTTGGATTGTACACAGTGCTGACATGTGCAGGCTCCTGAAGTTAGAGCCAAGTGAAACTATGTACCTGTTGATAGACTTGGAACATTTCAGGTTTTCACATGCCACAATTAGCTTAAGCTGATCTAAGAACTAGTATGCTGTGGGACAGGCTGGATGCCTTTCCAAAATTTCCATGCAGAAATTTTCTCAACAGTGTATTCAGCTGAGGCAGGCCCAGTTCTCCTTGCTCGTCTCTGTTTCAGGGAGTGCAAAGACACAGATCCAGTTTGCTGGAGGCATTCTATGCATAGTGCTTTGCACTGTTACTGAACAGTAAATGCAGAGAGAGTTTAAGACATGACATAAGATGGTTCAGTAGCAGATTTTAACCATTTAAGGACCTTATAGCTGACCTTGTAGGGCTCTACTCAGACACAATCCTGCTTGTGGAAAAGTGTGCTACATGGCATTGTAGCTCTTCGCTCCTCAGTTGTACTCTGGGTAAGCTGAAGAAGGAGGAGTAAAGCAGAGTGGTACCAGTCATGTCATGGAGAATAGGAGCTCCTGAATGACAAAGCTGACTTTCACAGTGCATAAAAAAGCTGACATGTCAGGACACAGAAAAAATACACAGCTCCAAGAGGAAGCACCTGCACTACGTTGGAAGCTGTTCAACCCAAGCTGAGGAAGGTCAGTAGCTACCCAGCTTGGTGATGAAAATTGATTCCCTCGTGTTGTGATAGCTCAGACCTGGGAGATACTTAATGTGTTTTCTCTCAGGTGGTGAATGTAATAATATGTGGGAAATAAGATCTGTTTTGTGAGAATGAGTTTCCTAAGCCTCGCCGAGGTCATATGTCCCTTCCACAAGAAACATATGCATGCATCACCTGCAAAGAATATTATTTGGTGGTTCAGTGAAGCTGGGTTAGACTTCCAGGCAGGTTTTTTAACAGAAGCATGGTAGGTGCTGGCTCAGTACTTTAGACAAAGGATTTGTGGAGAAGTAGTAGATACTTCTTATAAGTAGAGCTGTTTCTTTTTTCAAATAATTAAGTTACCACAAATTTGTCTGACCATTTTTATTTTGGAATACTCTGCTTCTCTGTACCTCTGAGTTTGGAAACCATTTTTAGGTAGAATAGGCAAGCTAGAGAATATGCTGTATATTGCTATTTTCTTGATTTGGTATAGGCTGCTCTCACTGGGGCTGTCTTCATCTGAGCAAAGGGAATGAGGGGTTCCCAGTCTGCATATACATTCACATCAAGTCAAAGACAAAAGGGCTGCCTTATATGCCTGACACGCATATGGGATTATATCCTATATATGGCCGAAAGTGAAGCTGATACTTCAGTAAAAGCTTTGTGTGCAACTTTCTTACTATGTCCTTCTCAGTCAGTCACAAACTTGACATATTTATTAGCAAGATGAGTACAAAAACTCACTCCAGTCACCTAAAAATTTTAACAAGTAAAAAAGGAGGTAATATAAGTAAGGCAGTGCTATTAGTTAAAACAAGATACACTAATCATAAACATAAGATACATAAAACATAAGATACACTTACACTTCCAATACCTTAGTGATACTGGAGCCTTCCTGTGACCAGGTGTAGAGTTTGCAAAAGGACAGCATGAACGAAGTGCATCTGTTTGTCCTGTTCTTGGGATGCCTCACAGTCCACTCCTCGCAGTGGCTGCTGGCATCAGGAAGGTTTGTGGAAGTGTGGAAGCTGAGGACATAGTGGCCATGGAATTGTTGTACAGTTCTGGCTGTTTTTCTGTTCTTCAGTCCACCGTCAGCCCACCATAACAGTGCACAGGTGGACAAAAAACGTATGATCGGTTTCTTGTCTCCATCTTCTCTGCCCCTCACCAGAAATTTAGTTCTTTAAACCTGACTTAATTCAAGCATTTGATTTGCATTTCTCCCCTCAAAGGACTGGCTGCCTCAGTCTGTAGTGAGTTTTGAAGGCTCCATCAAGACAATGAAATGGCATGTACTTTGCCATGAAGGCAAAGAGTGAAATCCTCATGCTCTGTGTGATGATGAAGTCACCTTGACTGTTAGCCAGGATGTTTACTCCAAGGTCAAGCTTGCTGGAGGGGAAAAAAAATCAGACTAATTTCACTGCTAAAAACCCTATGAAAATAATAAATCAATGTTTGATCTTCTTAGTGATGGTAAAGAATCAGGTCTATAAAACAGTCTGGGTTTAATACTGTTTCAAGAGAGAAAAACCAAGTGATGAGAAAAGCATGAAAAATTCTACTCTGTGGTCAGATGCTAAGTAAAATAGCTATTTTAGCCATGGTGAATTTTTATTGCCTGAACAGGATAAAAGGATACTCTGTTCCATAATTTCACCACTTGTCTTGAGTCTGTCCTGCATGCAGAATGCTTAAACACCAACTGCCTGTGGTAGTCGAGGGCACAGGGTTTTGTGTGGGAGCAGATTAAAGCCTGACTGCAGGCATACAGAGAGACAAGTGTCAGCCATAAAAATGTGCATCTTAGTGTCCGGGGCTGGTAGACTCTAAGCAAGTAAAATTGGCTGGGAATTAACTTTCCCAAAACTGACACAAAATTTGAGTGTAAAACCTATGGGCTTGGGCTTATATAATGCATGTATTTATAAAAGATATGGCCTAGGAAGATATTTTAGGAAGATGAGAGATACCTGAATGGTTCAACCTGAAAGTTTACCCGTGCTACAGGAGACTGCAGAGAACCTCCCAACTGATGGAGCTGGGATAAGCAGACTTATGTCCTGTAAAGGCAGCAATGTTCACAGTGGTGAAGGCAAATGTTGCATGAGCAGACCTGAAAAATATTTGCTTTTCTATCAAAGTTCAACTAAAAGAGGCTGCACTTCCTTGCCTATGCTTGTTTGAGCTCTGGCACCAAGAAGCCTTTTACATTACCCTCATCTTTGTCAGCACAAGGAACTCAGGCCTGCAGCAGCTAGCCAGTAAATGTGGGTCAGGTGATAGCGCACCGTCCATTTAATGTGGGAGTTTTTATGTGGTTGTAACAGCTGGAGTTTCACAGTGGTGTGAAGCTGCATTTGGTGCTGGTGAAGTGCCCCTTGCCTCAGAGTTCCTACCATGCCTCGCCATGTCACTCAGCTTGGATCAATGAGCGTGAAAAGAAGTGGGAACTTTTGGCCTTTGTGCTGTGCTCTGCAAGATAAGTAACACAGGACATCTCTGTTACTGATACAATACAAGTATTTGTTCCTTCTGTAGCAGATGCCTGTCTCAGCTTTCAAAAAGAGCCAAATATCTGTGAGACAGAGGAGCAAGGAAGAGGCCTTCTTGTAACTGTGGTTATGCATCTGTCCTGAGGTTTATAATTGATTTAGATTTCTGCATTTCACCATTCTTCTTTAAAATAATTTTATTTATATAAATTAGAATTATGTTGTATACAAAATATAAATAATTATATATGGTCAATATGTATATAATAAAGATATTATATATGTTTACATAGCTCATAAACTATATTCTATTATAAACTTAATAGAATATATATAGTAGAATCTCTCTGTATTATATAATAAAGCTGTGTGTATGTGTGTCTGTGTGTAGGCATAAATTTCCTCACAGCAATTTTAGGTGTTTCGTTGCTAGTTTAGTTGTTTCTGTTGTGATTTGTATCTTAGCAAAACTGCAGCTGAGCCATGTTTGATGCTAACAGTTCAATTTGCTGACCAGTTGTTCTCTTTGGCACTTTCTTGTATCTCTGGAACTACTGGGATACTGAGGAAATAGCTATGTTATTATTTTCTGAGAACATCTGCATGTTTGGAGATACAAGGTTACATGATTGACCCCTAACTTCTCAAAATCTAGACAGTTCATAAATAGCACAAGGAATTAGTTCTGAGAATGTTGTTATTTTCAAAGTAAAACACATTGTTTAACAGGATTCTGGTGCTTCTGTTTCAAACCTTGGAAATGGCAATTCTGAAAAGCTGTTTCAGCTAGCTCCTCAAGGTAGTAGAAGGCAAGTAATAACTTTTCAAACCTTTTCCTAATGCTTTTCTGCAGTAGTTCTGTTGCATTTCTTCTGTAACTGCACCAGCCAGATACTGAATCCTGATATGATGACTGCAAGGATGGTGTTCTGTGAGTGTCTAACAAGCAGCTTTGAACAGATTATATAGCTGTGCAATGTGGTTGCACTGAATGCCTTGAACGGGCTACAAGCTCTGAAATTATTCCATGTTAATTACCATGGCAAGAGGGAAAATAATATATGCTGGTGATTACCACCTTCCATCCACAACTGCATTTCAGTTATGCTGTGTAACTATTAACCAGCTTGTGCTGGTGTCCCAGTCACGTGAAAAACGTGAGAGCCTGCCAAAGCCAACTGGAGGGGCTGTAGAAAGGAACATCCAACCCTTGCTTCAAGGAGGGGACTCCAGAGTAACATGAACAAATAGCACCTAAAATATATTTTTAAATAACTCCAACCTGTAAGGGCTAGATTCATCACCAGAGGCAGGGTTTTTTATTTTTCTTGTCAATACCAACTAGCAATTCAGGAGTTTTATATCCTAGTTGTCATCACATATTTTTCTCATACATTTTTAGCTTCTTGAAGGGTAATGAATTAGTGGGACAGATCTGGGAAGCTAGGTCTAGATAATTCATAGCAATAGACGTGTTGAGATCCCAAGATAGACCTGTGTACTGGGAATTAGCTCGTCTTCAAGGCTTTCTGACCACAGTATCCCAATGACCTCTGCAGTACTGTTCAGTCCTCATCCCTGTTTTGCAGTGGGGAGGCCTGCAGCTTGGTTGTGCAAGCTGGACCTAGGTGAAGTAGAAATAGCTTTTGCCATATAGACTGACAATCTTGCT